AAATGCTACCGCTTAGCTTTCATTTATTACCTAACGAACAGAGCAATTCTTCAGTTGCAAAGAACAGGTCAGAATGTTTTTAATAGTACATATTCTATTTAAAATCCCTGCATTTCTCTTATGAATCGTGTAGGTTTTTGTATACCTAATAGTGTTAATATTACATAGCATCTCACAACATCCTAAGACTCTCATTGCACCATTGGATGCCATGGCACTCTGGCTGAGAATCATAGGCTTCTGGCAATGAAGATAAAGAAGGAAGGACAATATTTTTGTTGTTGGTTCTTTTTTTAAATTTTTTATGAATGAGCCTTATGCACATTTTCTTTCATACACTGATGCTAATAGTCAAAGCGACAAAGCCAAGGATGTTTAAGGGTTCCTGTGTTATCTGTGTTTCAGTTCCTTCAGTTTTTTTCCCCATCATTCAGTACCACACATTTAAGATATTGTGCTACCTGCCACCTCCAATACACATTTTGTACATATCTTCATCTTAAGGAACAACATCTCTTAAGATTTGCACTGATTTGTTTTTCCCTCCCTGTTTGCCTGCCTATAATTTTCGTTAGAGTCAAGGACCTGGTATTATTTTTCTTGCTATAAAGTAGCTAACTTGCTTTGAGTCATATAGAAACTGGAGAGTATACAGTCAGAGTTAAGAGTGATGCTTAAATTTCTAAACTTATAATGCTGCAGTGGTTTGAGTGAGGTTTGAAGTTTTGTAGTGTTCTTATAGACTGAGTAAAGACTCCAGATCCTACAAATTATGCATGTGGCCTTTCTTCTATGGTAGAACAAACTAAATTCCGAGACATAAACCCAGTCTGATTCCCTGGGTTGTTCAGAATCAGTGTTGAAACCTGTGCCTTGAGCCCATCTCTGACCCTATTATATATAATTCATTCTGATAACTTCCATACTACTGACTTTACAGAAACACTAAATGTTCCTTCTTTGTTGCCTATAACATTGTAGCTTCCCGTGCTTGTTCTTCAAGGTCCGGCAGGACATTTTGTCCGGAGAGGGTGTCTCTGTTCTCCAGTGTGTAGACAGTTTGCTGGTTTGGGCGTCTGCATGGATGCTGGAAGTTCTTATCTGCCACATCTTTGATGTTACAGAAAATAGAGAGGCTGGTTTTCCCTCACAAAGACCCCTTGGGTCCTGCATCTCAGGGCTTCACTTCCCCTACAGCCCACCTAGTGCTTCCCTGATGACAATAAGGATAAAGTGTGTCCAGACCCAAAATGTAGCTGTAGTCTGGCATTCTAGCACAAGGGTACTGAAATCTTCTGTGCTGATATATTTCCTCCACTCAGGAGGTCAAAATCCACATCCAAACTCTCCCTGTATGCTGAGGCTAGAGGATGTTAGCTCTCCTTCCCCTCTGCTCAGCATCTGTACTCACAGTTAGGCTGCTCCATCAGCAGGTCGTCCTGGTCAAGGCCCAGTCCCTGCTTCCAGGTAAGTGCTCCAGCTGCTCCGAGTTGGCTCTGGTGGGAGTCGCTGGCTGCTGTGGTTCCTACCACTCGCCTCTGCTGGGGCATTCCCTTCGGTGAGTGACTGTCCCGGTGCTGCTTTTGGGCACTGCTGGTCCCCCGCACTGTTGCTCTGGACTGCTTTTGGGGTCTACCCCTCCTGACTGGCCCGGTGGGTCCTTATCAGCTAGGCTTGACCTGGGGCTGGCATCCCCGGATGTGCTTGTTGTGCCTCAGGGTCACCCCCGGAGAGGCTTGGCTTGGCTGCAGCCATACCCAATTGGGCTCCGCTGCCACAAACATAACTCTACAAAATACTCTCATCTAGGCTAAGTACAAACAATCAAAAAGCCCAAGACTGAATCGATTCAGTCTTCACAGTTTACTCTAAGCTATGCTGATTGAACTGATAAGCAAGCAAATAGACATTCACTTTTGATTCCGGCAATGCAGCCACATGCCTGCAATGGCCCAGGTCAGAAGCTGGGGGGTGCTGGAGCAGACGGCTTTGGCCAAGCTAGCCCTCCCAACCTGCAAGGGCGTTTTTCAGAGAAGGTGCAAAGCATCTTGCAATGCTGGCGGACTGTAAATTGACTTGAATCCGGAGGGGATCTGGGACAGAAGTTCAATAAACCAATTTAACCTAATCAGTTAAGTCTGAAACTATATCCATCCTGGGTTAGCTTAAACAGGTTTCAGCCATTTTGAAAGCAGTTTATGTGCAGTGAACTTCTGTTGTGTTACAGATTTGAACCAGTTTCTGATCACTTATACCAGTTTATGTAAAATGTCTGTCCCTAGCACTAAAGAGTTTAAAAGAAAGTTTAAATTTATTTCCTCTGCTTGCCTTTCATCTTCTTTGTCATCATCTAGCAAAAAAGGTATGATTTTAGTCACAATGATGATCGATTCTGCTTTTCAATTGAGTCCTCATTCTCATGCCAAGCAAGGTCTATGTGAGTGTAGGATTTTGCTTGTAAGTTGTAACTTGCCTTGATCTTTCCCATTAACTGATTTACTTCTAGTTTAAAAAATTATTCCCATATGGGAATAAGGAAAATTAGGCAATTGTCTGGTCATTTAGTTTATATAGAATACCATGTCAATTTCTGCTACTTTTCAGTAGTCCAATAAAAGACTTCATTATTTGTACTCACTAATATTAGCACAGGGTAAAATATGAGAATTAAAAATTTAAATAAAACAGTGGTATGTAAAATATTGAAATTGTTCCAAAGCTTAATTAGATAGATCAGATTGAATACATTATGGTGATATCTTGAGGCAACATAATTAAATTATAGGCATAATCCTTCTTGAATTAGAGATGGTTTTATCTTCATAAGGTAAGGTACATTAGATTGCCATTTCTATGATGATAAACTACTAATTCTTCTGGGGAGATTTAAGGATCTTCTAGTAATATTAGACTAAAACTACCAGTAAGAAGAAAAAAGAACAGGATAAAGTCAAACTGTTGCAAATGTGATTACTCTGATTTTAGTATTTGTATTGTACCATGTTAAGACCTAATGTATAATGCAGGTGCTTTTCTGATTAATTCACAGTTTTTGTTGAATTGAGCCAATCTTTAATATTCATGAAATAAAACAATTCCAAGATACATATGCTAACAAATATATGGTTGTAGAGAATAATTCACATAGTGTATGATATCTTCAATGTGCCTGTACATATAGGCAGTGTACAAACATGTCTGTGAGTGTATGAGACAGATTTTTTTAAATTACTAGTCTGATTCTGTAAAATGTATACATATTAAAAAAGGGAATGAGTGTTTAGTATCAGATGAAACAAAGTATTCACATTAATTTTATTCTAGTTGTTTAGGCCAACATAGAGTTGAGTAGCACCCCTGTTTGGATTAACAGATGCTTTATGAGACTCCTTTTCAGGCATCTTCACAATCCTTTTATTTCAAAATGACATTATTATATTAGGAATCTGGGTTGTCTATTGCAGGGGTGCTCAACCTCTGGTACATGGGCCAAGTGCAGCCCATGGAGCCATTGCATCTGCCCCCCAGGGTCAGAAAATTTGGCAGTGGAGAAACGGTGGCTCCACTGCATTGGGGCTGGCCTGCCCCCCGCCCACTCCATGGAGACAGTTGGTGCCCGCTGTGCCTGTCCAGACACTGGATCAGGAATACTAACTGAATCTGGCCCATGGATGGACCAGGAACTGCCAATCCAGCCCACCAGGCGAAAACGTTGAGCACCACTAGCCTATCATGCATTGTTATTTATACTGTGCTCATCACAGTAGTATCTGAACGTTTTATGATATTAAGCGAATCCAAGCAGGTGGTCTACATAGAATCTCATTTCCTACCCTGATAGCCTCAGCTGGTGTTTTATTTCCCTTAACTGTGAGAAGGCTCTAGCAAAGATTAGAGTCCTTTCAGATTGCCCAGAGGTCAGTAAATTTCTAAAATCCCATGAAATAAATTTTTAGTTGCCAGTATACCCAGTGCCTCCAACTTTAGGTCCTTAACTTTTTCTGCAGTTTCCTGCCAAAATGTAGAAAGAGTAATTAAGTTTATTATCTGTGTCCTAATGTGGGTTCTTCTTTACAGATTGCTATTGTGCAGAAAGAGAAAGCTCATTTGGAAAGATATTCTGACTGGTCTTTACTATTGTACATGGTTTCAAGGGTAATAAACCTACATTACATAGTCTGCTTAAAGGACATGTCAGTTTATTTGGACATTAGCTGACAGTCTAATAGTATCTATTAAAACATTTACGTGATATGTATAATGCTCATCTGTAAAGTAGAGATCTGGATACTAAAAAATAATAGGTTTTACACTCCAACACTGGGAATATTGAACAACCTACTTATATAGTACACTCTTACATGTTTTGTTATTTTTAAAGCTGTGAAGGCCATCCCTATTGCAACTTAAGAGGTTTCTGGTTTAGAAAAGTAGCAAACTGCTACAGGGTACTGAATAACCATTTTAAAAGTAGACCTAATACTTGGCAAGCTTCAAAACATTGTTCATAAGCAACTGATGTATTTATTAGAAATTTGTGCCATAAGTTAGTTGGTAAATGGTTGATAATTAATTTAATATATATCTGCTTATGTCCTTGCTCCACCTAGTAGCTATGATACAGACCATTTTAATACTAAGTATATAAAATTAAGATTCTGTAACTTTAAAAAAAGTCATTAATTTGCACAATTTGTTAATAAAATGAAAATGTAATGATCTCCTGATTATTTTGTGGTATTTTCAAGAGAAGTGATTTTATCCGAAACATTGCTTGTGTATCTTTTATTCTTCATATGCAAATTTACTTGATTAATTTTGAGAACATCTGCATATAATTCCACATGCTTAACAGTACTGAAATCACACTGCTTTTCAAATAACTACTACAGATTTAACTTTCCAGACCAGTCTCAGATTTGTATCTAATTGGGATGCCAAACTTACAAAGGTGCCAAAGTACAAGTGTTTAATTATGTAATTTTCTCTTGATCTTTCAGAGTCTTCCTGCGAGCAATTAATCAGTATGCAGATATGCTAAACAAAAAATTTCTTGATCAAGCCAACTTTGAGCTACAGGTAAGCAAAGATGTAACCAGTATTTTGGGTAATAAAGTTAATGCTTTAATAAATTTAACCAATAATTTTGATATATTTTTCTGTTTCTAATCCCTTCACTGTTGTATAAAAAATGTGTATATTATGCATTCTTGCTATACACTGAACTAGAAATGGAACCAACCCATGAAATCTTGGAGATGTGAGAAGTTTTTGCAGTTCACAGAGTCGGGTGTCTGCAGTGACACTTCTTAGTGAGGAAATGTGTTCTGTTTTATAATCCAAAGAATACAGCTGCATCCCCCAATTAAAGTTCCCCTATTTGTTATTCTGATTAAATAATTTACTTCAAAGAGGATCCCTTACTTTCCTCAACCTCCCACAAAATTTTCTAAAATGTAAATTTCCAACTTTTGAACTCTATCACATCTGGATTACTACAGGGCAGGTTACTTATTCAATTTCTTTCACCTGTTTTTCAAGATGGTTTCTGATTCTGCCTTTTGTTCAGTTTATCTTCTCTTCTACAGCATTGGGCTGTCAGATACTTCCTTTCTCTTTCATGTACTTAAAAACATAAAAACGTGTACTTCTTGTTTTTATGCTCATTTTTATTAATACATATTAGGGGTTTTTTATTTTTAATTAAAATTGCACTGACTGCAAAATCTATTCTCCCATCTCCCTTCTCATTCTTCTGTTCTGTTCAATATAACAATAAAAAGCTAAGCACTGAAAACTGTTCCTGTACTCCATATTTCACCCCCTGAAATCATCACAAAAGCCTTAAAGATCTGGGCATTTCTTTGTGGCTTTGTCATTTTGGTTTACACTAGCATTATTTCAGAGTATTGATTACAATCAAATTAAGAATAGCCAGAATAATACACTTTAACGACAAGGTTTGTCCACATAGCCTTTTGTCCCATTTTAAATAAATGTATAAAATCTTGCTTAAATTAAACCAGTACAATATTTCTGTGTAAACAGTCTTACTGGAAATGCTGGTGAAATTACTCTGTTACTAACTAATGATTCTCCATATTCTCCACCTATTTCAGCCTGGTTATGATATGATTGTGACACCTAGACACTGCGGATCTGGTTGATGAATCACCTTCTGTTAGGGAGGGATAAAAGACAAAAGCCTTTGCTAGTTACTTTAAACCTATCATTTCTTTTTGAGTGTCCATCATAGCTATTATAGTTACTCTGAGCTTTTGTGGGGAACAGATGGGAGGCACTACAGTGCCTGCATTCTTTTCTCTTGGGATGATCCAGCTCTTCTCCAAGAATTCTTACATATGGAAAACTTCAGGATTCTGCTTGATTACCAGGTCTGTTCAATGCTACTGCACAGTTGCTAGGAGAGGTGGTAAAATAGGTTTGCTCTGCAATCAATATGCTGATGACGCTCAGTTCAGAGTTTCCTTTCATCAGTGCAGTTCTCACTTTTAGAGTTTCTGTTTTAGAGTGAGGTTTGAATGCTGATGTTGACTGAAACTTGGTATGGACAAAATAGAGACAGTCAGTTTGCTAAGGAAATGCTGCCTATTAGATGTGTAAGTGTGATCCTACTGCCCCCCCTCCCCACCCCCGCTTGAAAAGGCATTAATACAAAAGGTGCATTTCTCCTCCTCTCCCTGCCAACTTCTGCATCTGTGGCACTGTGCCCTTCCCAATGTAGGCTAGGGACAGCCATTCAAAAAGCCAGAGCCTGAATTGATTCAATCTTTGCAGGTTATTCTAATCTGCCTAGGTTGAAACGATTTGTGACAGCACAGACATTCCTTGTGGACTGAGGAAATGTGGGCACATGTCTGCAGTTGCTGAGACCAGAAGCACTAGAGTGCACCCTTGGCTGTAGGGAAGCTGGGCGGGGAGGTGGGGGGAGTGTGGCCAGCCTGGCCAGTAGCTTGGGACAAGCAGCAAAATAGGCCCCCTCTGCCAGATGCCAGAGGAAGTGGGGCAGGAGGGGGCAAGCAGTGGTGATAGCGGCTGGGGTAGGCAGACCCCACTGCAGTGCCCCAGGGGTAAAGCGGGGAATAACCTCGCTCCCTACCCCCTGCCCGAGGGGCCCTGCCAGCCCGTGGCTGGCCCCACCCCTGCCCGGCCACTGGAGCAGTGATGGGAGAGTTACCATGACAGGGGCAACAATTGCCCCTGTCATGGTTTCCCTGAGCACAAGCCCCTTCCTGGCATGGGGGCTGCGTGGCAGGACACAGAAAGCTGCTGTGGACTGTGGGGATGGTGGCAGTACTGTGAGGGACAACTTAGAGAGCTCTTGCCCCCTCAAAGCCTCAGTGCTGCAGTGTACAGCCTGCTGCATCTCTACCCACCCCGCAGTGCAGTGCCCCCACCAGGAAGGGGTTCACACTCCCCGACCCTATGACAGGAGCTGCTGCCCCCATCAAGGGCCCTTGCCCCTCACCATTGCAGTGGCTGGGTGTGGCCATGGCCAGACACCAGCCAGCAGGGCCCTGTTGGCAGGGGTTAAGGAGTGGAGCTATTCCTTCTCTCTCCAGTATCTGGTGGAGAGCACTTATTCTGCCGCTTGCCCCAAGCAGGGCAGCAGCAGTGGCGGCAGCAGTTAGGGAGGGCAGACCTGACTGCGGTCCCCTGGGGGCATTGGGGATAAAGCGGGGAATAACCCCCTTCTCTGCCCGCTCTGCCTCAGGGGCCATGCTGGCCCTGCTGCTCTAGCAGTGAAGGGGGAGTTCCCTGCAGACCTGGCTCGGGTCCTTGGTGGGACAGGGAGGGGGTAATTAAACCCCTCTCTGGCCAGACCCCCTCCCCTGCCTGTCCCTGCTCCGGCTGGGGAGCAGAGGAACGGGGCCAGCGCTGCTCTGCTGGAGCAGAGAGCCCAGCCCAGAGGGCATACCTGAATGCTGGGGGTATCTGGTTTAACTTCAACCAGGAACGGGTCTGGGACAGACATTGCATAAACTGGGTTTGAGCTCAATCAGTTAAGTCTGATTCTACATTCAACCAGGTTTCAGCCATTTTGAAACTGGTTTATGTGCACCGAATGTCTATTCTGTTACGGGTTTAAATCAGTTTCTGATCACTTAAACCAGGTTATGTGTAATGTCTCTCCCTAGCTGTAGGGAATATCTTTTGGAAAACAGGTAGAGGGTTGTGCCTGAGTAGTGCTTCCTTTGCTGGCCTTTTAGTGGAATAAGATCTAATAAAGACCCTGTGTCAGTGAATGTTCCTACTTGTAACAACATGATGGCAGTTTCTTTATGTAAGGTTGAGTTTGGGGCCATGTCATAGAACTGGTAATATATAACCAGATTCTTTCCCTCACTCTTCTACAAACTGTTGCTCTGATGTACTTCAGTCTAGTATCTGCTGTACTAATGACTTTGTGTGTCACCTAGAGGTTTCTTTTATGGTGGTAGACTTTTTAAAGCTATTAGATATATTTACAGAATAGCAGCAACATATATTTCTAATGTGTAAGTTCTGCATTTCATCTGACACTGCATAAAATAAATACATTCCCTTTTATACCTATCCAAGCAACCTTTACAGCTCTGGGAGACCTGTTGGCATCTTGCCAAGAGCTTGGACTCCCCGCTAAATTTGCATAGAAACTTATTTCTGTTTGTAACCAAATAAACACGTATACTTTTTATTATTTATTTATGAAGCCGAGTAATTTATATGGAGTGCTTTCAAAAATATATGGTGAAAAAATGCTTTAAGGTTTGCAGGGAAGGTATATTAATGGGAGTTGAAACCCTGCTTCTCTAAAACCAAAGCTTGGAAGAACGAGAGTTTGAATCTATTACATTATTGCAGTGTTAGGATTTGTTCACATTCATTCTAGAAAATTTCTGTTGACATGTATAAATATTGACAAATGTTATAAAAAACCAGTCAGCCGTATCTGTTCTCAAAAGACTTTACTAGAAATTAATTTAACTTCATGAAAACCATATAAAATCATATACATATGAGATTGTCTTTAAATCATACTCAGACATTCATATTTCATTTTTCTTGACTCATAAACAGGTTTTGATTTTTACATATGTGAAGATGGAAACTTTTTGTATATTAAATATACAAAGTTACGAAGGTATACAAAGAACCTTGAAAAACGTAACTATGATGTCTGTTGTTTATTTTTCTATTAATATTTATATGCATACATTAGATACTTCTAAGACATTTTCTAGATGTGCAGAAAAACATTTCAAGATTTAATACTATTTATTCTTGTCGCTTGTGGCTTTCAGCTTTGGAACAACTACTTCCACCTGGCTGTTGCTTTCCTGACACAAGAGTCTTTACAACTGGAGAATTTTTCAAGTGCTAAAAGAGCCAAAATACTTAACAAGTAAGTTTTATTCCTGATGATAAAATCATGGACAAGAACTTGAGGGCCTATTAACATAATTTTAGTTTAGTTTCTTAGCTAAATCCATTGAAATTGAGATGCAATCATGATATAATGAAAGGTTGGTTTTAAAAACATGAATCAAGAATTGTATATGTTCCTGCCCTTGAATCCAGATCTAAATTACAGGATTCCTTACAGATGAAGGCAGTGGTTTATGCTACAGTATGTTCACAGAGTCAAGACTTTTCAGAAGCATTAACATATTATAAGACTAGATTTTTCAAGCCATTTTAGCTTTGTGCTTATTCTAATCTCATTTTACATTTATTCTTTATTACCTAATCCCTTAAGGCCTTTTAGAGTGAATCTTCATAACTACAGTCAGTTTCACTGTGATATCTCTGAAGAATGTTTTTTGTATAGCTGCAGACTTGTATGGTTTCCTGGTTAAAGGGGATTACATTGCCTACCTCTGGACAGGGAATTTGAACTGTCTGGATTGTATTCTAAATTTCACAGTAAATAAAATCTGTCAAAAGGGAAAGACTGAAAAGATTTGAAAGCATGAAGGATTTGTCCACTGTATGTATTTCTTCTTCAGTTCCGTCGAGTTCCAGTGTAGTATAACCTGTCATTGAATGAGTAAGATGCAGAAAGTAAAAAAATTGTTTAATAATCTTAAAACATTGCATGTAGATATGTTTAAAGTCAAAATATTTTAATAAATTTTTGTAGACAATCATTTAAGTGTTCAGTCAGAATATTTCACTGAGTGCCCAGGAGCTAGGAAGGTCTAAGTGTAGTTCCCTAAGTCTTCTGTATTACTCTGTGGGTACCTCAGCAGCCTGTAGTCTTCTGTATTACTCTGTGGGTGCATCTACATGTGTGCCTAACTACGTAGTACACTAATTTGCTGTGCTGTAAAGCATCATAGTCTACACATGAGATGCTATTAGACCACAGCAAACTAATTTTTGCCATAATAAGATAATACTGTTGGGGGCAGTACCGTCTTGCAGAGACAAAAATAACTGCATCTAAATGCAAGTGTAAACTGACCCGGGTGTAAATTGTGCCGAGTCAGCCCAGGTCCCTGCCTGCCACCATGCCACACAGGCCCCCCCATCTTTGGGCACTCTCATGCCCCAGTCAGCCCCTCCACTGCCCAATACCATGACCTGGAGCCTGGGACTGACCCCCTGAGCTTGCTGGCGGTCCAGGGCTCCTCTACTCCAGTTCAGACTACTGCAGTCCTGGGTGCATGTATAGGCGCTTCACCCAGAAGCTGTTAACTCTGCCGCAAATAGTGCCAGAATTTGTGACACCATACTAATTGACCATGTAGATGCACCCTGTATCTTGTTAACTACACATCTTTTTGGCATTGTTAAAACTTGGCTTACTTTGTTACCGTGCTAACCAATAAGCTGTGACTAACTGAAGCCTGAAAAATTACACTGTGGGTTGTGTCCTCTGGTTGAAGGGAGTAAAACACTACCAAAAAACTTGTTTTTAGTACCCATAGAGAAACCTGGAAGCAGGAAGGAAGGAACAGCTCAAATGGCTGAAATGGCCTTTTTTGCCATCTTTGCTATGTCCAACCATAACCCTATCAAACTGGAGCTTTCCGTTTTCCTTTCTTTCTATCCCACTGCCACCAGGGATAGTCTCTTAATCTAAATTCTAGAGTCATATGGCATCTGACATCCAGAAGTGTTGTAAGGCAAGAGGCAGAGTTCATCATTGGAATGAAAAAGTTACTCCTATATTTTAAGACTGAAACTTTATTTCAAAATGAGAAAAATATCAATCGTACTTTTTGGGGGAACTAAATCTTGCCTGTGAAACTGCTTCATTTCTCTGTGATGTTTCAGGCTGTTGCTTTGAAATCTTTGCTTTACTTGACCACTAAAACAGCATTTTAAATCTCTCTGCATTCTAATGGCTGCACATCTGAATGTCAGAGTTTCCTGATGAAAGAGGAATATTTACAAGTCCTGTGAGATTAAGTTCTCGGGACAGCTCAGAATTTTGTACCTGAGGTAAATACAGAGTATGGTAAGTACCTGCAGATTATTCTACAGCCTTCACATCAAGAATATCAATTTACAAATGAAAATAAAATCCATTGCTTTGATGCCACATCAATTTTTTTATTAGATTTACAAATTATAGGGAAAACTGACAGACTTCCATTTTATTTTTGAGCAAGATGGAATTGAAATGTGGTAGTATACATGAGGTAGTTTCAAAATAAAGAGCTAAAAGAGTTCCTGGTAGGATAATATTGCAGTCACTTAATGATGATCATCTCCAGAAATGTTATAAAAACATTTTATTTCTAGCTGTTCTCTACCATTATCCCAAGTTAGCTTTAGCTAAGCACCTTGGCTAAATATTGCAAGCTGCATATCTTTTGTTGATGGTATGGCAAACAAACTAAATATGTTACTGAACAGAATGCAGGCCCATAATTTGAAGCAGCTAATCACAGTAATAATCTATTTGACTCCCCAAAAAAGGTTCTTCAGATCACAGTACAGAAGCTTCAAAGCTACCTAAGGGAATTTAACACTCTGAGTTTGCATTAATGATATAGAAATAGGCATCTCCAACATTACTTTCTGATGCCTAGCAAGCACAGTGATCCCTTGTTTCATGTGGCAGTTTGGTATTCTCTCCTCAACCTTGGATTCAGGAGCCCAAGATCCACTGGCTGCCCCGTAAGAGTCAGTTTAACAGTGTGGGTCCTCTGCCTTTAAGATCTTCCTTATCAGTGAAATTGGACAAATAAGTGCCTATTGAAGTAAAAAGCCTATTGAGTTTGTGATAGATCCCCAACAAAGGGATTCTTCAGAAGGATATCATGATTCCTTCAGGAATCAGGAGAAGAGACTATGAATAGGACTGTGCACCCTCTATGCAAGTGAGGAATGAAAAGACTATCACTATGCTCTCTGGGTCTGACCAGATCTTGGGGTAAGACTAATTATTATAGTTTGCTAACTTGTTAAAACTCCCAGATAATGGGTGTATAAATTGAATATTTTTAATGTAATCAGATTTTTTTAAGGCAATAAAGAAGATAAATTACTCAGAAAGCAATAAAGACATGGCTCTTGAAGCGTAACTTTTTATTTGTATGAGAAACAAATACCACTTCTAATCTATTGGGATATAAACAATCATTTAATCCAGTACCAACCCTCTCCCCTTTTTGAGTTTTAATAATTATTTTATCTTGACTTATAATTGTTATTGAACTTCTAAGGGTTTTATTTTTTAATTTAAGTGTTAGATAGTATCAGAATTTTTAAAGACACAGTGTTTTTTATAATCTAATGCTATGGAAATCCATTGTAAGTTGCAAAGAATTTGTAACTTTTTTGGTAACACAAAGCAATGACTTAAAAAATGAATGTTCTAAGAATGCAGTATCTCTTAGTGAAATCAGCAG